AAACTCTTACACATTCCTTCTCATTGCGAAAGCGCAATACCAATGCTCTAGCGTGTGAGGGGACGTCGGTCAAGTTTGACCGTTCTCGTTTGGCTGTTGTCCCCGATCCGGCTAATCGTTCTTCTTGATGTCCGATTAACGCCTACCACTCTCTCGTCTTCCTTTCCACGCAGAAAACCGGGATACTCCTGACACGTGTATTCGCTACCCTCGTCCATCGCTCTACAACGTCTTTGGCTCCTGGAAAAATAACGTACTACTCTATGGAACACTCGAAATGTTTTTGCCTGTGCACTGAACTTGACGCGAAGTAAAGTCTAGATTTTCCTTCCCATAACGCCATCTCAAGAGCTCCAAAAACTCATCGGAGCTACTAGTCAACCCTCGTGGATGGCCCTGGAGACAGGATGACATGCATAGCCGCGCCGGATTGATTGCGCTTATATATTCGGTCCGGACGGTCAAGCAGCCTTGGACTATGATTCATTCGAACCCTTCAGAAATACTACTGGATCCACCGCAATCTGGGAAGTGTGCTGCTAATTCTTTGAGCATTGTCTCGAAATCTCAAGGTAGTATCTGGCATGTATATAGCGATCCTCATACATGTAATAAATAAGTCTCTTATGTCTTCCTCCATGGAGATTTTTGTCTCGCGTGTCGTGCTGTTCCTGATTGCCGCCGTTCTTGTTCCAGACTTGAATTAGCGAGATGAGTCCCTCGTGTGACCGCAGGACCCACGCTGCCATGAGGATGGGCCTTCTTCTTCGAAGGAGATCGTTATAGAAAAAATGAGTGGTGGAAAAGGTTTACGCTAATTAAACGCTGCTCTTCCGCCTACACATCCGGACTTCGTTGACCATTCTCTTCTCCATGTCTCAATTGTCTAAACCGACTACCAGGCTCCAGAGCCTTCCAAGGGAGCTAATAATGCAGATTTTCTTGTCGCTCTCGAATAGGGACTCCAAAGCATTTCGAGTCGTACGCTTTCATCTTGAAGCATATACGGAAAATTCTCGCTCACTCAGCTTCAGGCGTTAGGGGTATCCCTCAAGCATTGCGACTTGTCTATTGCATGTCTAAATGCTATCGAAGATGTTTCGACACGTCCCTACCTACCATTGGTTCCCTTACAGACGTTGTCTTGGGGAGATCGGCTCGAAAAGCTCAGACACCGGGAAGCCCTCTGGAATTCGCCAACCTATATTCCCAAAGCCACATGGGCTCCCCTTCCAGATGAGGTCTCTTTCGATAGTCTCGCGGACGTTGCGATCGAATCTATATTCACAACTGAAGCATGCAGCGCAAGAATTCACTTCATACTTTATGAAGTTGAAACTACCGCTCATGCTTACGAGCTGGAATATACAGAGTCTGGCGCAGCTGCAGATCCTGTGACTATCAATCACCTCACCTTCCCCATTCCTATCATGACGGTGAAAACCATCAGAGCCGACCATGATGATGTACTGCTGGTGGTGGTATCAGTTGAGGACAGGTGCTGTCCTTATTCTTTTACCCTTTCGATTGTGCTGACACGAATCAGGGCACCCGGGTCGATTGGCTTCGAAGTCTACTGTCATGACAAGAAGACTGGAGATTTTTCTCAAACCGTGACGTCGAATCCCTTACCAGTCAGCGACACCCTACGAGAGCTATGGACGAGTGTTCCGTCGGACTTGTGGATCGGTGGCGAAGATTGGGTGCCCGCGATGCGGCTATGTGGATTCCTCATCGGGACGCTCTGGTTTCAACATCAGATCGATACGAATCCGATTTTGATTATTCAGAATTGGAAGACCGCAGAAACCGTTACCGTGAGTCGACTTGTAACTCTGGAATATCCTGCAGACAGTATTAATAATGAAATCGTCGTGAATTGTAGGAATTCATACCGCAAAACGATACGGTCAAGATCGATGACTTCACTTTCCTTTCCACCCATGATATTGCGTTGCTTTGTCGTGACCCAAAACCGTGCATCCGCATTATCTCGACGGATCAGAAACTGTCTTTCATCTTGAACTTCCCTCGCACGCGTAGAGAGTTATGCTATCGTCAGCTGCGATGTAGATCAGCGCCTGGACGAACTGGCTTCCCATGCGGACTCTTACTTATCGAAGTACCGATCACCATCGACGAGCACCCATATGAGATGTCGTTCATGATTGCATTGTCGACTTCGGCCCTCATGGCTTTGCTGGTTTCTGCGAGAGTCGATGCAGGAAGGACTGAGCGAGACAATGGTCTGATCGTTATTGATTACCCCCGATGGGCCAAGATTGCCACCTTCTTCCAGACCGATAGTCCTGAACGCTGGTGCGTTGAGGCTTCGGGGAACAGACTATGTTTCTCTGAGCTGGAAGTCAACATCCGCCGTCGGAACGATCCAGATCCATATATTGTTGTGCTTGAATTTCTCCCTGGGTTGAAAGGACGCAGATCAAGAGTTGCGGTCATCGATAAGGAGAGAGAGTTTGGGGAATCCAGTTATCACGATCAGCCCCGCGACCGTATTGTACCCGAAGCTTACTTCAGCAGGTTGCAACTGCTGACACTTCTTGTTGACGGCGTTTACACATTCCTCCCGTACAACTGCCAACGGTTCCTCTTATTCACGGATTTTTACAGAATCAGTTCGCTTCTGATGGATGATAATCGAATTTACATCTTCAATTATGCAGAGGTGCCAAATCCCAATATCTTGGAGGAAGATGATGTGCCACCCTCTGGTCGTTTGGTAAGTGCAATTTTATCGCACTCTTTAAGGTGACTCGCATTGATACTGATTCCCTCCATGGTAGCCCGGACCGTATATCGAACTCTGGGATTTTAGTGCTGATCCAGTGGCAAGAAGAGACCGACCTTTAGGCTGACGCATGTGAGACGATGTCAACTTTACTATTGCTAAGAACCACGGTATAGAGCTATTTGTTATATATACCGCAAATGTAGCTCATAAATACAACTTTGGATATTGAAAAGTGCCCTACACCGCTACAGCGGCAAAGACTGCATCCGTCTCAGATTATCCAATTCTGACTTCAGCTCTGCCCATCGAGATTGCCAAGGCCCCTGGCCAACCTGACTCGGCACCCAAGTGAACGTCCCGCTGAGGCTGAAGATTTGGGAGAGGAATGTAGCTATCTGACCGATGTGAGCTCCTTCGCTGTCTATCACAGACGACAATACCTCCCAGCAGCGAAAGCGCCTCCCGAACCGAGCATCCGCACTTGGCGGAAGTGCCGGAGGAAGAGAGGCATTTACTGCAAGAGATAGGTTCCGCATATGAGGACAATTCTCGGCGAAGGGAGCAAGAGCAGCTATCGTGAGACGCATCCCGCTGTCTGGTTGAACGCGGGATTTACTCCAACTGAAATATAACACTTCCAACTTTGTCCAAGAAGTAGCGATCTCAAACATATCTTGATCACAAAAGCCATCCGGGAGGTCTTGGTAATCAAAGTGAACATGTCGTAATGCGGACAAGGAGAATAAGGGACGGAGTACCGCAACATCGATACGGAGCCGCATTTTGGGGTTGGCACGAAGCACCAGCTCTTTCAAGCGAGGGAAAGTATGCGCGATGAGTGAGAAACAGAGTCGAGGATTAGCGTTGGGTAAGAAACTCGGGATGTTGATGATAAATGAGTCGATGTTCAGGACTCCAGCGGATTCGGCTAGACTCTTTGTTAACGTCTCCAAGGGCATGCCGAGGTTGAGCTTCAGAAGGGATCGAAATGCATAGGGTTGGATTAGAAGTAGATGTTTGTGCAGTGCATAATCGATCGCGACGGGCCCCGTGGTCTGGAATATTTTTGACAAAAAGGGCTTATCGGCGAGCGTGAGGAAGGCTCTGGAACTCAAGAGCTCGACGGGTAGCGCGACAGAGTCGAGATGTTCAAGATGCTGGATGCACTCTATCAACCGCTCCTCGACATCATCGCTAATGCGTCTCTCAGGACTGGTCCAAATCCCTGCCACCCGGAGCACCGATAAATTCGGTGCTCTCAACATTATCCCGGACAACATCGTAGATGTATCGTCCCAGTTCCATGCATCCAGATTCAGGATGCGCAGTCCGTCGCTCATGAAGAAGAGGGAATGGATCGTCTGAGGTGGACGTCTACGATTCGACCAATGAATCTCAGTGAGTCGTGGGAAAAGAGGTGACTGCGAGGGCAGTGAAGAACTGGTAGTGATGAATTGTTGCCAGGCGCTATCGGCAATGTATGGATTAGGGCCTTGAGGATTATAAGTAAGAGATCGGACGCGTTGGGACGCCCTGGAAAAGCGATCCCAATCTTCTAGCGTGGGATCACGGGAAAATATCTGGACGCAGAAGCAGATCACTGATCAATGGAGGTACATGATTAAAGCAAGGTAAGGGGCTTACATATTCTCCGTTTTGGTTCAGCGTCAGAGGGGCTAAAATTCTGAGAAACTTTTGAAGCACTTTTATATTCCGACAGAGACCATCCATAGCAACGCCGTACACACTTCGACTGACGAGAGTGAGGTTCGGGATATCATCATGACGGCATGCGTCCACGACCAGAGCGACTAGTTCTGGGATAGACCAGAAACTGTGTTGAGTTTCGGGTGTATATGATACGTGCTGCATTGTATGGTCCACAACTTGAACGGGTACCATTGTCGAAGATTCGCGGAAGACTTTGGATGCAGGATTGTACGCTTTGTTCAGTGAACAAGGTGCGTGGCTTTACAAGCCAGTATGCAGTACGCTGGGAGAAGTGAAGCCATCCATAGATGCCCTGTTGCACACGACTAGTAGTAGCTGCACCAAGGCTGCGGCGGAGTATGAGCGCGCCAGACGCCCTGAGATGAAGTCACTAAGAAGCTATCGTTGCTACAGTGATGTGGAACTGTCAGTTGAACTGAAGTGCGGGACAATAAATTAAGAACACTGAGCGAGTGTATGAAGTGTGTAAAATTACTAGTAATGACGGTCAAGGATTTTGACTGTAAAAGTTAAAAACTACGCCGAAGGGGAATCGAACCCCTACCACTTGCTTGGAAGGCAAGTATGATAACCATTTCACCATCGGCGTGCGCTTGGCAACTGGCCAAATTTTAAACATATAATAAGTAACAGAGACATGGGCACTGTTTTCGGATCCGCAACTGACTCCAGCCTGTCAATCAGGTAACTCATTGGATGCTTGCTCGACTTGTGAGCAAGACATCATTACTACTCATTCCTACCCGCTTTATCTCCTCGTCAACAAGTGTACGTGTTATTTTTTCATATAGCACGAGTTACCACCGTCAGAAAGTCGCAATCGCTGACACGATAAACTCCCAGTTTCCAAAACCAAGTAATACACCACCACCACCACCAAGAATGGGAAAGAACAACAAGAAGAAACCCCAGGCGCCGAACGAACAAAATCTCATCCTACCAGTTCACTCCTCAGCAGTTGGTCTGAGCGAAACATCAGGATCGCCTCCTGTGATCCCCATTGTGGACACCCACACTCACGTTCTGTCAACGTTCTCGGCGTACAGAACAAAATATCCAGACGGCCAATACAACACGATCTCGGAATTTTTCAGAGCACTGTATCATGATCCCGCGGTATCAAATGGGGGTGTGCATCCAGTTGAGGCGATCGTGGATGTGTGGTGTGAGGCTCCTGAGCTCAGAGAATGGAGAACGCTTGCCGATTCTGCTCTGACAGAGGAGATGAGAGAGAAAGAATGGTCTGGGATACAGTACCACTTCGTCATGGGTTTGTCCTTCAGTGATCTCTTAATATATCGCTAATCTGAGCGACAGGCGTGCATCCGTGAGCTCGCCCCATGTTGCTTCGACATCTGACTTCGTGCATTGACATCGTCTATCAAGTCATAATGCAAAAGATTACACGGACGAAGTAGAAAACGAAATGTGAGTCGGCGTCGCCCACCTCATTCCCCTCCTTATGAAGGTTTTAATTCACGACGCAGACTCGAGGCCATGGCTCATCCTCGCTGTGTCGGATGGGGCGAGATGGGACTGGACTATCATTATACCCTTTCTCCCAAAGAGACACAACAAGAAGTCCTTGTGCGGCAACTGCGCCACGCTGTTCGTCTCGGAAAGCCTCTCACTATACATACTCGGGAGGCGGATGCAGACATAGAAAGGATATTGAAAGCTGAAGTCCCCAAGGATCACAAGGTACGTTGTCCGCTGCTGCTACTGAGATAAAGTCTGATCCTGATGACAATCACAGATCCACGTCCACTGTTTCACCGATTCCCCAGAACTCGCGACGAGTCTCCTTGACCACTTCCCGAATCTGTACATCGGCATTACAGGTACGTGAAACTGCGCTCTACGCTTGCAATAGTCCATCCTGACACGTCTATTTTCATAGGAGTCATCACCTATGCTACGAACTTCAACACCTCGGCGGTAATCCGTCACTTATCTGCCGATCCCTCAAAACCGTTGCGCATCCTCCTCGAGACAGACGCGCCTTACATGACGCCGTCAAATCTCTATCCTTCCCTCTCGAGTGAGGTCAAGGGTCGGTTACCCTTTTGTCATACGGCTATGATTCCGTGGACCGCCGAGTTTGTCGCTGGTGTTGCCGGAGATGCTTGGGATACGGAGAGGGTGATGAGAGAGTCGCGGAAGAATGCTAGAGATATGTACGGCGTGTAGACACCATTTAGACGGATCTCAGACAACTTCTGGGAGTCAACCCGCGGACCGTGTCCTTCTTCAGTCGGTGTACGCGGACGGTTTCGCAAATTGTGATTGATTAGAGTCCTGCGGATTCAAGAAGTTCAAAGCAGTTGCATACGAGTTACATACGGATAAGAGTACGGATACATATACAGAGGCGTACACGTACAGCAAATAGGATAGAGGAGTACAAAATAAGAAAACGACGGACGTGATGCATCCAGTACATCACTATGTGCAGCGCAGTGTCCATTATTGAAAGATCGATGTCCTAAGTAGCGATTGGCACTGGCTCAGCACTCTGCATCAAACCGGCGACGATCCGAGAAGGACATGACGGGCCTGTGAATCGTCTAGCTTGACCCTCGGAAACGGAGCGATCATATACGTCGGAGTATCAGACTTGTCCGACTTGTCTGAGCTCAGGGAGGGCGAGTCGAATTCTCTGATAGGCTGCAGAGTGATAATGTCACGAGGTGATCCGCCGTAATGAGAAGGTGGTTGCACAGAGAGACTTGATCCAGCACGAGGGGGCAAGTTCTTCGTGTTGATCTTATTCAGCGACCGACGAGCGTTGAGGCTGAATGAGGATCGTTAGCTAGAATAAATGAGAGGGCGTCACAGGGCTCACGATGCGAACAGGGATCCAGCATAAGCTATGTCAAAGTAACATCAGCAAAGATGGAAATGAAAGAGAGCGGGGCAGCATACATTTTGCGATGAGGGAATGAACAGTTACATAGTAGAATGAGTCTGGAGCAACCAAGAACTGAAGTTGGATTAGCGTCGACTTCCAGCTCGTGTAGATCCTAGACTGACCACGACAAGCTCGCAACAGGCTAAAATGCTGTATCTCGACGTAAGTAAACGATAATGGACATGAGCCGATCAAGACTGACCAGGTCAAAAGGCCTTGATTAAAGATAATGATAGATAAGCGATTTATGAGTGTTTCCGTGCTGAGTGCGCCCCCTCAGTATGTCATTCGAAGGGTGGCTCGGACGAGTAAAACGCACGCAATGAATCGGGTGTTTGATCGTCGAAGGTAATAGATCTGAGAGATCGTGATACACACATCGCTGGTAATCGCGCTGACGATGTGCATGATAACGACTGTCTGAGACAAAATTAGGCCAGGGAAAGGACGTTAATTGAAGAGGCATGATCTACCTTATAATTAAATATATCTCCCCAGGCTTTGTGTTGGAAACTGAAGAACGTGAAGGCTGGATGTCCGAGGTGAGGCTTATGTAATCAAATTCGTCGAACGACTGACCGATGGCCCAAGCTGAGAAATTCAAGGTCAACGCCACGTGTCTGCTAGATCAAAACTAGAGCTCACAGAATGTGAACAATGCCAAGATAACCTTGAAGGCATCGACGGAATGAGAAAGCGATAAGGGTCATGTGAATGAACTCACGATCAAGAGTGCGGTAAGCCAGCCGTATGGTTTGACTGAAGGTAGGCGAGACGGTTAATCGTGATCATGCTGAGAACTGCTACACATACAGCGCCGGACCCGATCTGCGAAGAACCTGACATCCGGAATCAGTGCGACGTTCATTAATCTCAAGGAATAGCACGATACGTTTGAACAATCAATGTCACAACACCCTGATATTGTATTAGTATCTCATTGTGTGATTCTAGAAGGCGGCGTACAGTTATTACGACATCAAGCTAACGAACGATAAGCAACCTGGGATATAGAGTATGAAGTCAACCCACATAGAGACTCCTAGAACACAGTCAGATAAATCGATACCGCCGGTGAGTCTCCCAATTACTCACCAAACGCCGTCCGATAGAACTGTGGGGTTGAAGAAATTGAGGACGAAGTAGTAATATACGGCATGCCCTAACAGTCCGGCTTGGATTACGTCGAACAGCCTAGACAGAATGAGGACATATAGCGGCGCTATGAACGCAGTATGTACCAGGTAGCAAAGACCTGATAGAAGGTGAATGACTGAGAGCGAAATTTCAAACATTCACGTACGGTGATCTTCAACCGTCTTGGATCACCCGGATATTGACTGAAATAATATATGACTTGCGAGGTGTTTATCCCAGACAAGCTGTGATCGAGACTAATGAGTGCTGTTCCATCGGTGATGGGAGACGCGGAGATCACAATGTTGAGATGATAACGCCGATCAAGATGGCGCCGTATGTTTGAGGGAAGGCAGACGGACTAGACATGTTGGGAAGGGATCATGAGATGGTCAGACGAACAAGAGGACTGAAGTGCCACAACAAGCGAACAGTTGTGCCTCCACTTCAAGCACTGTATAAGTATGCGGGATGCAATCGAGCCACATAGCGACAACCGGCCCACGGGGACTCAATGAACCGATGGAACCAAAGCAGAAAGTGATCGAAAGCTAAAATTGACATGTCGGACAGACCAGTTGTTGAACCATAGAACATTCCGAGAATCGGAGCACGTGTGATTGGATAACGTTGTCCCATGCCCTTTGGAAAAGTTTGCGCTAGAGTGAAGCGAAAGCGCAAATCCGGCGTAATCTGCCTTCCAATGCGTAGGCGTAGGTCTACTAATTCTTAGCGAGCGTGCAAACTGACGTCGGAGAGCTGAAGACCGGATTCCACTAAGGGACGGACGACAAATTTGCTTGGTCGAGTGGACCACGCGACAGATTTGCGTTGGTCCTGAAAATCACGCGCTCCAGGGTGGAGAAGTATGAAGATGCCAGCCTCACGGAAAGGTACAGTTTATTCGGCTCGGAGTGTTTCAAGTACAGTGGATGTACCTGGTTGTGCTGCGGCGTACGGCATTGAAATTGGGATCGACAGCAGACTATTCATGTGGCTGGTCTCTCGTAGATGCCAGTTGTGACATCACGTAACCTCCTTCCCCACACCTCCGTAAAAGGAAATGTGTACGGGGAAGATAATCTTTTCACCGGAAAATCATCCTTTAGAGGCAACTCGCTAGCGACAGATTCCGCGCATGGGATCTTGTCGGTCATGGTCATGCACGACGGGTAGAATGTGCAGCAATCGATCGCGCTGTCTGGAGGCTGACTCTCAACGCGTTATCTCAGATAAGACCCAAGGTCGTATGCGACTTTCTGAGCCCTATCCCGTCGACGTCAGCCCAGATGTTTTGGAGCGGACGACTTCTTGATCTGATGGATATCGTCAGCAACGATGGGAGCTAGAAGAGAACCAAGAACGACGCACATGCCGTCCGCGAATACAGCGAGAGGGCGCTCCCAAGTCTCCCATGCCATCGCATGACCAACCCTCTTTGAGCGACCACTACTACGCATTCGTCTTCATCCAGAACGATCCGCCTGCGAAAGTCATAGCTCTGAGCGGCTATGCTGCACTTGCGTGACCGACGCCAGTGG